GGAGAGAACCCACACAAACACAGGGAGAACATGCAAACTCCACACAGAAGGCCTGATGGAGGAATTGAACTCAGGACCATCTTGCTGTGAGGTAACAGTTCTAACCACCATATGTCTGTGAACGTTCTCAGTCATCCAGGTCATCGTAGTCTAAGGAGCTTGGAAAGAAAAGCGTCTGGACTTCTTTAAGTTGCTTGAAGGCGTTTCACCCACTCTATACATGAAACCCTGGCTGATTGTGACCCACACCCATTTTCACACCTTGGCTCATGTGATTAGGCAGAGGATCATCAAAGGACCCCCTGTCTTTTGTCCCTCTGTGGGGGGATACTCCCACTGGGTTTAAATCTGGGACTCTCCACCATTTGACTTTTAGAACTGAAGAAGCTTCTCGGATGAGAGGTGAAACGTCTTCAAGCAACTTAAAGAAGTCCAGACGCTTTTCTTTCCAAGCTCCTTAGACTTCTAACCACCATGCCACCATGCTAACATTAGTTTTAGAATGCTTATAAGCTGGCAAATGAGGTGCTGGAAGCATAACTCATGAAACTATGTCCTGTTTCAGTTCTGCTCACATTTAGACATCAGAACCACTTTAGTTAAAATATTCAGTTGATCTGAATCTGAATACTTGTTCCACATCTGTTTGACCTTGTTTTGAACAAATTACATGACAGAATGAGCGTAAACTAAACTGCACTGAGAAAAAAAAGCTTTGGTGTATTTGCTTAAAGCCTTCTTACGAACCTTCATGGTAAAAGATGTGAAAGAAACTGGAGCCATTTACCTCTCACAAAGCCAAAGCTCAGCTCGCCGGTTGTGTGGCACCTCGCGTCCTCTCCACCTGGTAGTGGTGTCCTGGGCAACTAACTGGGCATGTTCCAAAGAGGCGCAGTGCTTATAGAAGCTTTCTGGGGAAGAAAGACTCAGGTGGCAAACTTTGCAGTACATGGTCACTTTCCTGGGCTGTGTCTGCGCTGGTTGGCTCAGCTGAAGTAGGTGAGGCCGAACACAGAGCCCGGTATGCTCTGCTTTCCACACAGCCATCTCCACCTCACTTTGGGCAGACTGGCATTCACTGGCAGTGTGCCAGCAGGGCTTCCCTTGTATTACATAACTACAATATGTAAACTGACAGTTTGGGGGAAGCGGGCGCACCTGACTGTAGATATGTTTCCTGCTGTTCTCTGATAGGTGATAAACTAAGACTGGGTTCCAGGCATGTGCTATGTCTGCCGCACAAAAATCATTCCACCTTTTGGTCGTTAGTTTTTGTGGGTGTTCCTGAAAGCAGTCTTTACAGACCTCAATGAATTCACCTGAAAAGTGCCGGAGCATGCTTTCAGCTGCATGTTCTGGTGTTAATGAAACAGACTGTGACTCAGTTAAAAGTCTGATTAACTCATTCTTATCCATTCTTTTCTCTCTAAGATAGTTCCAAACAGTGGCCTCTTCAAGGCTTTTGGGATGAGTGCATCCTCGACCCTGCGTGTGTTGTGTGCATCTGGAGTCCTCAGCAATGTATTTACACACTTTGTAACAAACAGTTTGAGCAAGTGTAGGTCGCTTAGAGACAAGCTTCCATAGGTCGGAGGCTTTGCCTTTAGCTAGTAGCAGAGATCTTCTACACGTGTGCACAACTGACTGAACTGTGTATGTTATTTCATTTACCTTGACAGAGCACAAATTACACACAGCTTTTAGATCTACATCTGCCAAGAGGTCACCCAGAGGTTCATCAATGTTAGCCTGACGAGTTCCTCTCTCAGACTCAGCAATGAGATTACAGAGAAGTGCATGATCCAATCCCTGGTGCTTTTCAAATGTCCACACTGCAGCTTCCTCATCACTTCTGGCAAAGGTGCACCGGTTCTTGTGCTGGGTGCAACCACGCCCCTCTACATAGTACCAACAGGCCATATACTGATTTGGTTTTGGAAATATTGGCCGTCTAGAAACAGGCCTCCATTTAATGCCACCTTTGGCTTTGCAGAGCAGGACATTGTGTCCGCACTTGTGTTGAACTGATTTCAATCTATATGTAATTTCTTGTTCCTTGACACAGCACTGAGTGCAAACAAGTTTGAAGTCATAGACCAATAAAAGAGGAGACAGTCTGGAAGCACTTGCTGACATTTTGATACAATCATAATCTTTAAACCAGGCACTGAATACAAAAATGTATAATGACCCTTGAAATGTCTTGTGGGTGATGAATCTCTTGCTTGGCCTGAATGTGTCTGGAAAAAAAAAAGAGAATTATAAGAAGTGTGTTCAGTCACTGCAGAAATTATCTACTAAGACTCAGCCATTAAATCTTAACATATAGATTAGTGAAGTACTTAGTTGGGGATGTGAAGAGAAGCAATGTACATTTAATTTAATTCTCAAAACTACTATTATTGGATACAAAATGTCTCATACTTCATAGAAAGTGCATTTCAAGTGTTTCTGCAACTTGGATTTCCACTTCCATGCTGATGCTAGTAACCAGCACTGGCAAACTAAGTGGGGCACATTCCGGGTTAGACAGACTTAAATAAACTGTTTACTTTCAGCAGCTCAATTTAAAAATAGCTGTACAGTTTTTAGTCTTTATAGAGGTATATTAATTCACTTCAGTATATTTTCAATTGCATGTTCTGGTGTTAACAAAACAATCATTGACTCATTCTTATCAATGTTTTCCTCTGTAATATAGTTCCAAACTGTGGCCTGTTCATGGCCTAAATCTGCCTTTCAACCTTTTCCAAAATATTCTTGTCTTATATGTAGAACACAAAAGGAAACGACAGATCTAACGACAGAACTTGAAGTCACAGTTCAGAGTTGCAGTGTAGTGTATTGTAGCTGTCTGCCAGTTCCCCTGCATTAAAACATTGACAGTACACTACTGTATTGTTGTTTAAATGTTGTTTAAAATAAAACTAGTCTGTATAAACACTGCTAAGAACATGCCAAAGCAACACGTGGCGATATATTCCTAACCGTGTAGAAATGTTGGCCAATCAGAAGTCTAGAAGCTTCGGTGGGAAAAAGTAAACAAAGCTGGGGCATAGAAGCAGAACCGAGTCGTATGTGTGGAGGGACAGTAACTGTGTGTGTATATGTACATTTAAACACTGCAGAGACAATTAACAGTAACAGTATTGTAGAAATTCATTTCACCGAAACAATAACGTGGCGCACAGTGTGACGTCAAAAAGGCGCACACCTTTGACGCTGCGTTTTCTCTGTTTTCCTCGTCCACAGGTAAATGCAAAAACTGAGTTTTCGAAAATACCCACCCTGGCCGGCATTTTTAAAAATCTCAGTTTTCAGTGACCGAAAACAACGTTTACGTGTGGACGAAAGGTGCAAACGCATAAAAAAATCTCTGTTTTCAAAAATACCCGGGTAAGGCTACACACTCGCCCGGATAGATTTGAAAACGGAGTTTTCATCTGCAAACGCTCCGCGTCCACACTACCGTTTTCAGTCGTTTTCACAGAGTTGTACGTCCACATTGAAACGGCCGAAAACGCTTACGTACCAGTCCTGTGCATGCGCAAAAGTGAGTAAGAATGAAAGAATTTGAAGAAAAGCTATCTTAAGCATGTACAAACTGAAATTAATTTTTTTTTTAGGGCTGTCAAAATTGAGAGCAAACAAAACAACTGCTGTATAATGCACTCCGCTATCTTTGTTTAATTGGTCACATGACTGCATCACATGACTAAAATGCATCATCGTTTTAGAAAGCCTGCGTTTTCGAGTGTCCACACTGAGGCCAAAACGGAGAGAAAACGATGCGTTTTCAAACGAAAACGCGTTAGTGTGGACGTAGCCTAAGGAACTTGGAAAGAAAAGCATCTGGACTTCTTTAAGTTGCTTGAAAATGTTTCACCTCTCATGTCCCTCCAAGAGGGACAAAGAACCCCCTAATGATCCTCTACCTAATCACACAAGCAAAGGTGTGAAAACAGGTGTAGGCCACAATCAGCCAAGGTTTCGGCTGAGCTCATTGTGAAACCTAACCCCACCCATGGAAATCACATGATAGGGTGGGGTAAGCTTCTCAGATGAGAGGTGAAATGTCTTCAAGCAGCTTCAACTTAAAACAACTTCAAGCAACTTATTTAAGTCCAGACGCTACACTCTAAAAAGTAATTCAGAGGCTTAGTAAATATCACTATAAATATAAGTTAGATGAGCCTGATAAAATCTATGAATATCCTTTTAGTAATTATTTGAGTTTGATAAGTTGAAATAAATGTCTAAAATGTTAAAGTATGTGTTTGTTTTAAATTAAGGTATTTATTTACATTTATCTCAGATAAAAAAATTCAGTATGTGGTTCACAGAATACCTTCTTTGCATGTACTTAATATTTTTGTTTAAAATTGAATCAAAATATTTGAGAAATAGGTATCTATACTCATCAGTATCTTGTACTAAAATCATTAATTATTCAAATCAGTATTATTTATTGTCAGCAACGACAACTGAAAAGTGTAAGTAAAACACGATAACGTAGAGTAATTGACTACCATGAGCCTTTTCCATTATTTTGTTCATTTTGTTTTTTAAATACTCTGAGCTTTTGTGTTTGCTCTCCTGGTTTGACATTCATCCTTCAAGTATGTAAGGCTTTGAGCTAAAAGGGAAAAGGCTCTTGTCTTTTTAGTGCTCGTTTATTTCGAGTTATTGCCGTGTTTATGAAAATTCAATTTTCAAACACATGTTAAAAATGTTTAGCATGTGGTCATTTTTCATACATGTATTATGAAACACACAACTACATATTCGTTTGTTTGGTTTTTCAGACCTAGACTACCAGTGAAATATAATAACATTCATATTTGAATTCTAGGGGGCGATTGTGGCTCAAGAGTTGGCAGTTCATCTTGTAATCGGAAGGTTGCTGGTTCGAGCCCTGGCGCAGACAGTCTCGGTCGCCTCGGTGACCTCGGTGTCGCCTCAGTAGGTGGGCCTACTGCCCACCTACTGGTGGTCAGAGTGCCCAGTGGCGCCAGTGTCCGGCAGCCTTGCCTCTGTCAGTGCGCCACGCTGCCAGGCATTGTTATTCAATTGATCACAGTGGCAATGTAGCATGCCATCACCAATGTGTGTGTGAATGACTGAATGAGTCGCACACAGAGATGGGCAATAATGCGTTACTGTAATCCGATTACTTTTTTCAAGTAACGAGTAAAGTAAGGGATTACTATTGCAAAAACGGTAATTAGATTACCGTTACTTTCCCGTAGGAACGCTGCGTTACTGCGTTACTAAAACGGTGGGTTTTTTTGCGAGAATGTCTCATGACAGTGACGTAAGCGAGTCCGATGTTCGTGACAACAGCTGTTTGCAGATCAACAATGGATAATATATCAAGTGTGGGAGAGAGTATGAGCGTGCAGCGTTTAAAGCGTGGAAGTACTGACCTTACTTTGAGTTTGATTCCATAAAAAGTGACAAAAACATTAGTGTCCGTTGTGCGTGGGAAGAAAACTTCTTTTTACAGCGAAAAAACCCCTAAACTTCCGAACAAGCACCGAGTAGCTACGACGTAATGGGAAACTCACAGAGAAACTCGCGGATTCTTCCACTGACCGCTGCGGCACACCTGCACCAGGGTAAACCTCCGCCTACCCCACTCCTGCTTTACAGGTGAAAATAGAGCAACAGGACCGCTAGTCTTTGACTTTATTTATTTTCTGCTGTGTTTTACTTGCATCTATTTGAAAGACTGAGTGTAAACACACAAAAAAATATTTTATGTGCTGGAATGTGCAGAAAATAGGTTTAAATATTAAACAAATTTCTTCCAGTCAGAGAATGTTGCATATAATTACATTTTTGCTTGATGCATAAAGTTAAAAGATTAAAACTAATAAAACAAGTTTTAAAAAGAGACTTTTCCATTTGATTACATTTTGTATGATGATTATGTAGAAAAAGTAGAATTGGGCTGAAAGATCTATCGCTTTATCACCTATTCAGGTTGTAAATCGTGTTTTTAAAAAGTAACTAAGTAATTAATTACTTTTGAAAATAAGTAATCAGTAAAGTAACAGGATTACTTTTTTGGGGAAGTAATCAGTAATTAGTTACTGATTACTTTTTTCAAGTAACTTGACCAACACTGCTCACACACACATTCAAGATGACTGAATGTAGTGTAAAGCACTATACAAATACAGGCCATTTGCCATATTTAATATTAAGTACAATTTTGAGTACATTCAGTTTACAATATTAAGTAAATGGATTAAGTAAATTGGAGAATCACTTCTGGACTGTAGGCAAAGCAGTTTAGCACCCAGGGTCTTCTTTGTAGTAGGAGCTATGCAATAAGCACTGTCTTACTGAAAAATGCAAGCCCTCCCCAATTATGCTTTAATTGTTTATAACATATGGGTTTACGAAATTTGCAAATCTTGTGGTTTCGCAATTTGTTGGGGGGTTGTATATTGTGTAATGTGTTGAAACAAAATTATGCAACAACAGATCTGGATTCAAACCACACCAAAAGTCAAAGCTCACTAAGCACTAAGTCTACCTAGATATGCAGTCTATAGTCTACTTAGGGTGGTAGAGGAAGCTATTGGTTTTCAGAAATTTGGTGGCTCCAGGTATTTTAGTTTGTTTTTTCTATTGTGCCTTTACTGCGACAGTGCAGTGGAGATAAGACCAGACAGCTGGGAGCTGAGAGAAAGAGCAGGGGGAGGCAAACAGCAAATTGAAGTGAATTTGAACCCCGGCCTCTACATTAGCCTGTCAGTTTGTAGGTAAATTACTCAAGATGCTTACTTAAACTCCCTCAGATTTCTATTAAGAATTCTCTCTGTCTGTAAAGGATTCTTGCATTTGAGCTACCAGTGTTTAACCAAAAACATCATAAGATAATATAACTCATAAACCCAGAAATTAAATCTATGGGGCAAAACCATATTTATAAAATTAGACCTGTGATATATAGGCAGTTACCCTAATGACCACTGAAGTTAAAACTTATTGAGATGCTTCTAAATAACTGCCTAAGGAAGTGCCCCGATGCGCTTCAAGATGGCTGCCGAGTAGTGACATTTGCCACCACCATTATTAAAACGTCTGTATTTATATACAATAAATAACCACGTAGAAAAAGTAAAGCGGGTCTAAAGTCCGCTAGATGGCGTAATTACACATCTTTAAATACAATAACAGGTGTAACGTGGGCTGCCCCGTTTAATAATAATAATAATAATAATAATAATAATAATAATAATAATAATAATAATAATACCGTTATTATTTTCACTGACTGATGTCCTATGTCACCTCACCCCACCGTGAGTTTGATTGTTAGGTCTTGGACAACATCTCGTGGACTCAGCTGGAGTCTTACTTAAGTTTCATTTCTCTTCTTTTGCGTCAGCAGCAATAATGCTGCTCCTGTTAACAGTAGCTTCCTGCATTCTTTATGATGTTCCTGCAAGGTTAGTCTAATGATGCCGTGGCTTCAGCCTCCCTCCCATTCCTGTTTTTCTGCTAGCTGAAAACTGATTATTTACTTCTTTAAAAAAATAAAATAAATAAGACTTCACCTGAAAAGCGTATGATGTTATGATATACATTGGTCGTGTCATCACACAGAGCATAATTTACATTATTACTATTATAATGGTTCCAGAGGAACAAGAAAAAAAAAAAACACTTGTTATAATAAAACTTATAAAGAAACTAGAGTTACTGAAGTGTGACATTAACAGTCGGTTTAGCACTGTCCAATGTTTTATAAACAATTTGATAAGAAAATGCCGAATACCGGCCATTTAAAATAAATAAATAAATAAATAAATCCACATTCACGTTTAGAATCATGTTGTATACACATAATGAGACTTCTACTGCTACTACTACTACTACTTACTACTACTAATAATAATAATACCACTAATAATGCTTACCGTTAAACCAAGGTCCTATTTGTCAACTGATCCCAATGTGAGTCTGATCGACAACAGCGGGGCTTGGATAGCATCCCCTGGACTAATCTTGGCTGCAACCGTCGGTCTCAGTTAAGTTTCATTTCTCGTCTCTTCCGTCAGTTTGGATATAATAAACACGGCCTTAACTCCACCTACCTGCCCTGGCGCACAGACAAATGCTTGGTCATCGAAAAAAAATGTTGCTTCTATTACCTGCAGCTTCCTGTATTCTTTATGTTGTTCCTGCATTGTTAGTCGGGTTACTCCCCATTCCTGTTTTTCTGCTTGCTGCAAACTGATTATGTACTTTTAAAAACATTATTATTAAAGACCAAGGGCGTAGATTTGGCATGGACGGAAGGGGCATGTCCCCACCAATATCCAGCGATTATTGAATTGTCCCCACCAATAATTTTTGGTGGGGACAAAACAAAAACAAATCAAAACCGATAGAAATTTAAAAAAAGCGATCTGTCAACGTCTCATTCACCCAGCGGAGCAGAAAGAGTTAAATTACGTTCTCTACTGGAGTCCTATACCATGTGACAAATATGGCCAATGTGATTGGCTGTGCCTTTCAGGGAGCTCTGTTTAGTTTTAGCAGCGGCAATCCTGCGCCAACAAATATGCCAGCAGTTTATCTCAGTTAATAAGAGGAGAAGGCATGTGTTTGGCTCCTTCACATAGTGGACATTGAGTTGTTGTGTGGGACACCAGTAGTCCATGTCTGTTGCTTAACAGTAGTTCATGTTTAGAGTAAAACATTCCAGCTCACTGATCTGATAGAGGGCAATAGTGCCTAAAATGTTGCATAATTTTGCTAAGAGATCTGTTACTTTGTGGTAATCTTAGATGAGTAGTTTTATGGACAAAAACCACCAGGTCATTCAGTGTTCCCTTAGTGCTAATGTATAAGAGATGTTGGTGTACAATAACTAAACTAATGTTGTTAAGTCCTTAAAGTCATATTCTTTTATTGTCATGACTGTATTTTAAGGTATTTTTTTTATTTTTGTATGATATCTGATTTATATGGAATATGGTTGAAGTAAACTAAACTCTAAAATACTTAGTCAGTCATTTGTTTAATAGTAACTTAACATTATATATGTCACATATAAAACTATGAATTGTAATTTTAAATGGTTTAAAAGCATGTAGAATAACATATGTAGGCAAGTATATTTCTCCTTTTATCAAGAAGCAAAGACGAAAAGGAAAAAAAAAAAGAAACAGGGCAGGGTTCGGTGGTTGAATATTTTACATAAAAAGAACACTCACACGTACCTGGCAGATCACTTTTTATCACACGGCTGGGAATCTGTCTGCAATCCAGATCAATCCGAGGTGGACAGCACAGTAGAGGAGGAGAGCTGAAAAGACCTGTATAGCCAAATTAGATACGGTTTATCCAAGAGGCCTTAATGAAAAGGGATTTAGGTGAACCAAACCCCAGATACTATATATGGTTGTTTTTGTTGTTCTTATTTTTACAATTATTGTATTTGATGCTGTATATTTCAGTTTCCTGTGAAGGACAATTGAGGAGAATCCCACCCCTGGGACTGGCTCTAAACCTAACCTTAGTGGACCCTATGCAGAGGATAATTTCGGCCCTAAATCTAACCTCAGTGGGGTTCCCACCGCCTTGCAGTAGCGGTTTTAGATACGGGCGACACGGGCGGTTGCCCGGGGCGGCATCGTGGTGGGGGGCGGCATCACCGGCATCGGCAAAAAAAAAATGCTCGTACTCATGCTGCCCCGACGTCAGCCAGCGCATATTGGGAATGGCATAAGCACCGATTGGTT